GAGGTCCTGGTGACTCTCTGAATCTATTTAAGCTTCATGTTAGCAGAATGTAGTTAAATAGTAGATGTTGACTGTTGGGAAGCTGTGTTAGTTTAAATAAAAGTAGGAATCAATGCCTTATAAATTGTGTCACACTACTAAAGAAGTTTGTGATAATGTTTTACCCTCACACTTATTTAGTTAACTCAGAAGGACTGCATTTGCACTCTCAGGTTATATTTAACAATATGATCAGTGGTCTGTTGTAGATACATTGTAACATTCACACATGTAAAAATCACATTGTAAAGTATGAGATAGATACAAGATGTAGTATACGGTGAAACGACGTCGGCCCCCATGCCTCCCTCATGGAGCCTGTGGCCCAATCCCAATGTCCCCTTAAAGCTCAAACCCTGAACCCTCAAGGACTTACTGACGTCACCTGGTTAGTGGTTGAGTGTGAGAGACTGTGAAGGCTCAAAATGTTGTAAATACGAATGAGACAGCACTTTGCTGCAACATATCACGTTACCATGAAAATGACAAAAAATATGATGTATAATTGTGGGTATTTATTTTCTACTTTGTACTCCCTGATTTGAATGTTTTTCAGGCTCTTCAGATGAGAGGTCAGTTCATAAAATCTATTAACTAATTTTTGTCAAAACGGCTTCAATGACAAAATCAAATATTTGATGAATAAATATCCTCTGATTTCAAGTTTATTTGTTGTTCCATCTTTAACCCTTAATGTTTCTGTGTACATTTAATAAGACAGGCTGAACACACGTGAGCCGTCCTCTTTGTTTACCTTTTTTTTTTTTTTTTTTACCTCTCCATGTGTCCACTGGTTACCCCGTGCTTGAAGTCACATTGCAATGATTTGTGGGTAATTTCCTTAGGCAAAGTCAGCATCCTATGCTGACTTACGGAAAGGGTTCATAACGGGCTCAAAATGTCTGTGAGAGAGCCCTCAAACACTCGATGATTTTGATAGCCCTAAACCCTCACGGACTTCACGGGAGTGCTCCTCAAAGTCCGTAAGGGTGGAGATTGGGATTGGGCCTGAATCTGTTTGGTCAGCAACATGCTGACCAAACACGTGTTGCAACACGTGTAGCCCGCTGGAGGTCATTTTGTAGGGTCCGGCAGTTCCTGTAGCTCCTCCCACCTGGTATCTTCTCCACGCTCTTACAAGTGGGCTGAGACACACAGCAGACCTCTGACCTTGTGAAGGCTTGTTTGGATGTGCCATCCTGTGCAACCGGAATGGACTGCTACCAGTAGAATGCTAAACTAGAGAAAAATCAGGAAGGATAAGGAGAGAGAGAAATGGTCTGTGGCCACCACCTGCAAAACCATTCCTTTATTTGGGGGGTTGTTTCCTGTTGCCTCTCCTGTCCACCTGTTGTCACTTTAATTTACACCAAAGCAGGTGAAATTGATTCACAATCACTTCAATTCCTACCTGAACAGATGGATGTCCCAGAGGTTTAATTGACTTGTTGCTATACTGTGATGATTAAGTGTTCCTTTACATTTTTTGAGCAGCATATATTCAATAGATTTCTGGAATAGGGGCATGTTCTGTCCACTCAACGCCTCAACTTGGCATTACAGTACTTCCAAGAACGACGCACCTCTTATGACTGAAATAAAAGTTAGAAGGCAGTATTTCTGAAACATGGAGCAAACCAAGAAAACATTTTGTGTCACTTGGACCCATCAACATGTTCTACTGGACGTTACATAGACGAGCTTCATAGCAGCAAAACTATTCAACATTCTCGAGAGACAGAGGATATTTAAATGTGACTTTCAGACAAATAATGAAGTTAGAATAAAACAGGTTGTTTACTCTATTTTCCCAACAGTTTGTAGAATATTTGAAATTACATTTAGATCATGTAGCGAGTAATGGTCCTGACTAAATTTCTTTGTTCCGTTTCTATTATTGTATCTCAAACATGACATTTCTCATGGTCATTAAGCATTAAGTGATGTTTTTGGGTTAAATGCTGAACAAAATGAACGTTTGAATGTGAAACGGTCACTATAAGTGCCAAATCCACTGAAAGATAAACCCCCAATTTCACAGCTCAATGCACCTTTGTCTCGTTGTTGCTCTTAACTTTGTTTGCTTTGAAGAACCATCCATTTGATGCCAAGGCAGATGTAACAATGGAAACTCAAATCGTCAATTTAAATCATCAAGAAACAATGAAATGCATTAAACAAATGTCCTGAATGGACATAATTGAGAGGCAGCACAAACTAAGGTCACACAGGTAAACATTTACTTTTTTTTTCAAATTATTCCAACAAAATAATGAGCAAATGCACCATTTCAGTCTGCAGTTAAAACATTGCAGACAATGTTCATTTAAGGACAAACTCAAAAAAACAGCCTCAAGTCCAAGAAGCGAGACTTCTTTGTTATTTCTGCGTGACGGTGAATGAATTCTGGTCCATTAACTCGCCAACTCTCTCCTGCAGGGTCTGCACCACCTCTGCCAGGATGAAGACGTGCGTGTCGTCCAGGTCCTTGAGGATGAACTTCTTTCCCAGGGCCATCTTCTCATCCAGGTAGAGGAGGAACTGCTTCATGGCAGGATCGCTGGTCCAGTGAGCAGAGGGGACAGCTTCATAAATCATTACATTCTGCACACGTGAGGATTATGCACTTCAGTTAATAAATACATTTTAAGTGCAACAGCATCCGTAGAGAAATATTGGTAAGAATTACTTGATCTACACAAATATTTCTGGGTAGATTTACAGTTTTCCTTACCATTCAACAAGGACACCTTTGTGTACGTTCACCATGTTGACACGTGCAGAGAAATCAGCAGTCGATGCAAACAAAATCCTGAAGACCTTCAGCACAATAAACAAAATCCTGAAGACCTTCAGCACAATAAACAAAATCCTGAAGACCTGCAGCACAATAAACAAAATCCTGAAGACCTGCAGCACAATAAACAAAAGGCGTGTTACTTTCCTGGCCGTAAACACGATAAGCTAACGGAGGCAATGAGCAGATACCGAACCGTAACTTACAGTCACGAAACATAGACCAACGTTTTAAAAGTATTTGTTTTACGAGACAGCATGCTTAACATAAATTAACGTTACCCCAGAAAACATAAACAGCATTGGCGGTTAACGTGACGTAACGTTAGTGTTTAAAGAACACAGCTGTTAGCGTTAGCTTCTGATTTGAGACTGGTTAGCTAGCTAAGCTAGCTCTGACGTTAGTTCAAAGCTACGTGACATGACACCGCGGCTATACTAAGTACTGCGGTTTTAAAATAGTGAACAGAATACGCTACCAATAAAGATGAGATACGTGGTTATATTCAAGCGAAGGAGTTGAGGATGACAAGAGACGGACTTCCACCAACCTGTTAACTTTGTTGTTCCTGGTTTCTAAGCGTTGTGGGGAAGTACGGTCTGTAGCGAGGGACAATCTTCAGCGATGCAAAAATTGCGCATGTGGAATAAATACATCGTAAGTTATTATTACCATTCCTGATAAAAAGCTACACTGTATTTACCAATGATGAAACTGGTTATTGTTGTGGTGGGTAAATGATGTAAAAGTCCAGTATTACCATAAAGCAGTCATGTTCAATGATCTAATGAATCCAGAGATTTACACAAAAAACATTGAATGAGATATGCATTGCAAAGTGGCTTTGAGATGAAAAAGATGCAGAACATAGACCCGTCCGACTCCAACTTCATACATTTATTCATTGTCAGCATTGCTAGAGGCAATTAGGACTACAAACACGTGGAGATTTAAACCCATATCCTGGTTAGTCGTGTACAAATAAATACAACCCGAATTATATTAATACAGGTCCGTTTGAGGTAACGTTCAGGAAGGAATATGTTTGGCAGACAATATGACTGACATACTGCAGTTAGAATAAAATACAAAATAAAAACTTTCAAAAAAATTGAATGATCTTTTAAAATTCTGACTCACTAATGAGAGAGACCGATCTCAGGGGACGACTAGGAGAACACACGTTTTCACCACAACTGACCGCTCACAGAAATCAAGTTGTAAAAAATGCTAAATTTTCCAAATCATATTATGATCACATTAGTGGTTGTTAATGTAAGTGTGCATTAAGGATAGCCAGTTATGTTTTCATATATTTTGGGGGGGGATGGGTGTCAGTGGTCTCCTTCATTTCAAGTAAATAGTAGGTTTCATCAGTGTGTTGGGTTCATATATGTTAGTCAGTGGCTGATGTAGCTCTGCAGTGCTTCCAGGATGAACTGAAGGCTGCGCTTGTAAAGAAACGAGTCCTTCTTCTCCGGCTTGCAGATGTTGAGATGATCTGTGTCCACCTCGATGAGCTCTCCAATGCCGAGATCTGAAACCCAACCAGAGGAGACTCAAGGTCGCTAAAAGAATGAGACTTACTGCTTTAAAGATCTGAGCTCTTCATATTGAAGCTATAAATCACAGATGAACGTGTCTCATTTCACATGTGCAGTATCGTGACATACTCGCTGACTGTGTTGGGACCACCAGTATCTTGATCATGGGACCAATGGTTGTTGGCAGCGTCTCTGCAAAGCTCAGCACCTTGAATTCCTTTTCTTTGGCCATGTTCAGGAAGTTCTCATTGAGGTTGCGCAGTGCCGGCGAGTCTTAAAAAGCACATTTGGACAACAACTCACAATAGATACTGAACCATTTCTATGAAACACAGACAGTCATGGACCTCACAATTCATTTCAAACACTTACCTTTACAAAGTTCTCTGACTTCTACAGAGGGAAAGAGAAGATATCTGACACTGACCGAGTACTCGGCCATAAAGGTGCCATGGTGAGGAACACTATAGAACATTATTCCCTTGGTGTTCTTTAACAGTTCATGCATATCTGGGTCTTCTGCGGCATCTAGCAGCATTTTCTTCACAAGCAATCCTGAATACAAACAGACAATGAGCACAACTTTTACAGTAGATACATATAATCACATGTAGGTACAGGTGTGAAATCATTTGTTTTTCATGTTGCATTCAGGGGATTTGAGTAAAGATCTGAAGTGCTTGTGGAAGGAAAGTTCTGACAGAATACCTCCCATACTGTGGGCTACCCAGACCACAGGCCTCTCTCCAACTCCCGCCAGCTTTAACTTCTTTAGGAGCTCTCGACTTCTGTAGGCCAAGGACTTCCTGAAGAGACCAAAGCAAAGAATGATTCAACAGTTCACTCAATGAGAGTCTGGCATAATAAATACTGGAACATTTAGGATAATTAAACATTTAAATTTATCAAGAATTGTAGCTTAATTAGCTTTAAATAGTCATGTTGGATGAGTTGTGCAAAAATGTGGTTATTACTATTGGTAAGTAACCAACGTCACCTGCACATTGATACAATACTTTATACTTAAACACTAGAAACTACAGATTGCTCACCTCTGATTCTCAGCGGGACACTTGGCCATCCAGTCGCTGAGGTGACTGTCGTACTCCACTGATAGTACTCTCAGATTTGGACAGTCGGCAGCCAACCACGACTGTCAATACAAGAGGATATAACACAGAAGAACAGCGAGAGATGATTCATCTTTTTAGGATTAATCAATGTATTTGTGAAACCTCACGTTTAATGAAAAAACACTATTGAGTCTCCTTTATAGCCAGAAAGATCAATCCATAGATGTTTTAATATAAAAATGTATAAGGACAAACATGGAAAGGCACTTAATGGTGACCCACAGTGATTATAGGAATACGGTGAGTTCTTCACCTTTGGCCAGCACTCTGTGTAGTCCTCCCTGCTTTCTGCCTCCTTCTCTTCCTCCGACATGTCGCGGTCCTTCTGCCTCCACGTCTTAAAAGCTGCCCCAAGAATCCCATGGATGAAGAGCACGTCTGCTTTGATTGGCTGGCTGGAAATCAACACATTGTCAAGTGTTGGTTTACATACAACATAATATTGGAACTAATACTTTATCAAAAATGTGTAACAATAGAATGAATAGTTTTCCTACTTGCCACGTGTTTGTGGGTGCAGGATGTAGACGCCATCTTGGTATTTCTCCTTCACCGTCTCCCTATCCAGGTTGGCCAGAGCGCGGGCTGCATGAGACGCCTGCATGACGTGAGGAGACTGCACCATCTCAGCCAGGGCCGACACCCAGCCTGAAGGTGTGATACAGGTAGGGAGGGAAGAAAATGTATTGGATGTATTATAATCTGTTGCTATGTTTTCAGTTAATACAATTGGGACAGTAAGTATTAAAAACGGAAAACAAACGCAAACGTATATGAGTATTTGAAGTCTTTGTAATGGTGAATATGTAATATTCAATACAATATTACACATAACTAGACTCTATGGAACAAGTAGATGAGCTGTAGATTTACCAGACTGGGATATGGCCTGGTGAACACTCTCATTGAGCGCCAAATTTCCTATGATACGAACAATGTTCCTCTGAATCTTCAGGGAGTCTCTACGAAGCTGATAAACCCTCTGGAGGAGCTGCAGACCACCTTTGGCAACTATGTGGTCACAGTGGCTCTGGACCTGCAAACCGGATGTGTTTCAGTAAGTTCACAACATTTATTCACCTTCAATCAATATCAACCAGTAATGACAGGAGTTATTACACTCAGAGTTTTGTCCAGGTGTGAGCCAAATTAACTGATGAGTTTGTCGTTGTTTCTGTTCGGAAAACTATGAAATCTAATTCAGTTCAGTGTGCCGTGTATACAATTAAAACACTTCTATAAATACTTGCATGATGACAAGAATCCCTCCAACCGTGAACCATAGGAATCCACTGAATTAACCAAACTAAAACAAAAGGTGCTTTGTGTCTTCCCACGAAGACTAGTTCATGTTTAGATGTGTAATGGCTGTCATTACCTTTGAGTGCTGTACCAGCGCCTGTAGGCAGAAGGATTCCACCTTCTCAGAGGGAACAGAGGTGAGGCTCTGGGCGTAAGGCAGCCCGTTACCTCCAAAACACCACAGACCACCCTGCAACATAGGAGAGTTTATGTGTCAGTATGAGGATTTAAAGGTAGTCACTTTTCCAAAAGACTGTATTCAGAGGTGCACGCGTGAGTCCCATCATTCCGTCTGAATTACCCGTTGTGCTGCCAAGGACTGGGTGCTCTCTCTGAGGGCCAGTGAGGTAAAGTACTGAACACACTTGTCCACCTCAGACTGAGGCAGAGACGCCAGCAGCTGCCTCAGTCCATCCTCTGCCGACAAACCCTGTGAAGACGTAAAAACATCTTATGTGATGTAAATGATCAATAGTGTTGAATAGTTAGTGTTAGTGGAGATACCTACATCCTCCAGGTCAGGCAGTGCAGGTGAGCGCAGGAAGAATCGAAGGTCTACATGAGGAGTCCTGGCCAGGCCCACTGCTGTCTGCTGGTCTATAACCTGGGCTGCCGTCTGGTACTGGTAGTCTGCATTATTGACAACAGCTGTGAACTAATCCCACCTCAGGTTTTACAGTGAACCTGAAGTGACGTGCAACAACTTTGTGTATCTTACCGTGCCAGTGGTGATTTCCTGCAAGCTCCTGAACGGCTTGTAGTCTGATGGCTTTATTGGCTGACATTGTCCTCTTCAGTAGGACCCATAATGCCACCTCATGTGGGTCTGCATCCACATGGCTGAAGTGCTCTATGACAGACGAATAGAAAGCTCGCTGACTAGCTGAACGTTTCCAGAATGAGGTGGACACGGGGTAAACAAATACTGCTAAAGGCACTTCAAACTGTATTTACCACGACTAACTACCAGTCTCTACACTACCACTTTCAGATTACTCCAACAGCTAAGACGTTACAAACCTTTTGGTTTCAAAACTTGTGTAATCAATGTGGCAGCTTTTTATTTTTAAAAAGTCAAAAAGTTGATTTATTAGATATCTTATGGGAATGTATGTTCATGAAAAATGTCATTTCTATAATTTAACATTTACAATCAAACGTCATGATTAACAGAGGAGGTAATATAAGGCGAACAAAACAACAATGCATGTGTATTACTGCACACTATGCACATTAATACACAAACTATGAGACATCAAAACAGGATGTGCATGTACAAAGCAGGTGTTTCCTTTAGACTCAATGTGCACACTCCACATAAAAATGAGTCGGCAGCTGTAGTTTTATTAGACTACATGTCTGTTCCTCTATTAGCAGCAGCTTCTGCTTTCCAACCTTAGAAACATGAGGGGCAGTACTATGGCTGAAACTGTGAAACGTAAGATATAATGACAACGTTTGGTTTCTTACCGTCTAGTGATTGCAGCATAACCCGAGATGATATTTCCAGAAACCGCCTTGCTGCTTTATGAAGTTCCCTCCTTGCTTTGTGCGTAAGCCCTAAACACACAATGTGGGAAAAAAATACTACAATGACCTAGAAAATTAGATTTTCATTTCTATAAAGACTCTACCAGAAGCTATTTAGTAATGTTTGCTCATTTGTTTCTCAGTATAGGTGATCGTTTCCATTACATAAGAGAACCGTGACCAGTGGAAGTGAGATCAGTCAACAGGCTGACCCAAACATTCAGGCAACAGAGATAGTAGAGAGGGGAAGGAAAGACTGGAAGTAGTGATAACAGACGTCACTGGGCACCTGGACGTGGCAAACTCAGTATCATTCTGTGCTCATACAAGAAATAAATAAAGCCATTCAGCATATTCCAGATGTTATCTAGCTGGTCTGGGAAGTCCAAAAGCAAAACATCTGAACTAAAGTGAAATCTCAAAATGGTCTTATTCTAGGTGGATGACTTTCAGTACCTGCAGTGAGGTTCTCCTTTTCATCGGAGGGAGTGGCTTTCAGATAGATGTAAGACTTGTACTTCTCCTGAAGAATCGCACTGGTGTCAATGGTCACAGCTTTGTTCAAGGCCACCACTTCATAAGTGATAAAAAGACAGCCCCTATAGAAAGGTAATGGATAAGCTGTGGCTCCACAGTGACACAAGTCCAGGATCAAAGTATGTAAACACTGTAACTCACCCAGAGACAACTGCACCAGTTACTTTAGCAACCTTCCCTAAATGTCAACAGAAAAGGGATCCATTGAAAGACGGTTGAATCTATGTATTTAGAGTACTACAAGCTAGCACAATACGCGGTGTACACACGTCAATTATGTCTCATAATAACTTACTTAAATGTTTCCACTGAAGCACTTTCCTCACTCCAGGCGGCCCAGCTGTGCTCAGTCTCCGACAGCGGATCAGTCGTAGAGCTGCACCAGACATCCTGCAGGTCACCCAGTATGTTGTAGATACGTTAACAGGAGACTAACTACCTTACACTAGACACGTACATACACCATAGTAAGGCCAGTGACACTCACGCTAAGGCTTATTTAACGTAAAACACGTAACTAACGTTATATAAAACTATCAAAGTTATGATGCACAGCGATCTATGTTTGAGGCTCTATCGACGAAACAACCGACAGTAGCGACAGTTAACCAACTTGTAACAATAATCGATGCCTACCTGTAATAGTTAACTAACTTATCTAGCTAGCTAGTTACCTAATAAGTAATGAAATCACGTAACGTTACAAGTAGCTAACATTAGCTGACGTTAGCTGCAGTTAGCTTGGAATGACAAGCGAGGGCTAAGCCAGTAGCGACTGTTACCTCAACTATCAGTCAGTATAAGCTCTCCGCCAGCTTATTAGCTGTTAGCTACCCAGCTGGACCATTAAGTTCGTTTCCATTGTTGCACACTGACATTACCTTATTATTTATCGACAAACTTCCAAAGGACTACAGTAATGTCCTCCGCGGTCGTAGCGGATCGGTGTTCTGAAGCACAATGACAACTTGTCTCACAAATAATACGTCATCTATGGAGACTAACGCCATCAGAAATATGTTTGTTACGGTATTATATTTAGTCGACCTGCAATATAATATCTGTGATGATGTGTGTTGGCTGTCCTCTGCCAAACTTAAACATGGTTAAGCGGGTACCTTACCAGGAAACCGTCAGACAGGACGTACACACATCTGTCTGCTCATAAGGGGGTGGACAAAATAATAAATACAAAAAACACGTGTGATCCAATACCACAATAACACAACAAACTCAAACTATTGTACAGATTATAATGTTCAGAGAATGATTTACACAAGCCTGTAGTTTGCACTAGTGTTGTGTTAAATTGCATTATATTGCGTATTGTTTTTGATAAGGTACATTATTGTCCCCATCAATGGACAACCTCACAATGCAATATTGTACATTAACACCACAACCTCAAAATGCTATTAACACTTGTCTAACACAGTCAACAAAAATTGACTTTTCAAAACTTCTCTAAGGTAATATTTATTTCTATTTGGATGACTTCTGTAGTAAGTTGCAATATTTAGCAGGTGTTCATGTTATTATGTTCATATCTTGTGTTGCCCTAAGCAAGAAGGCGCACCACTTTGTTTGTGCTAACAAACACCCTTCAGACCACAGGTGTTGCATGGAAAAATCAGTTGTCATGCTTTTTCATTCTTGCTTTTATTGCATTCGTTTATGAGCAAAGTTCATTAAATTACAATCTAATTAAAACAGCAACACTTTTGACACCCACCATTATGTGCATCTCTCTCAAACTCAAACACACCGTACTCGCAAACACAGACACACTAAATTACTTTGAATACACGCACCCCCAAACACCACAGCTCTGTAAAAAACATGTTCGACGGCAATTAAAACACCAAATGAGTTCAAAGCTGTCTCCACCAGGTTTTACATAGATTCATCAATGACAGATACATTTGCCTTCCTTTGGGCCACACACACACAATCATTCTCTGTTTTGCAGCAGGGACAAAGGAGAAGTCTCGTCTTGCAGCGTAAATGCCCCATCAGTCACCAGTATGTATTTGAATGTCTTTATACAGAAGTGGAATCATTTCTGTCCATAAGCAGCCCGCATAACTGAGAGTGAACTGTTTTTTAATGTTTTACTGAAGAGTCCGCCTGGTTCTTTCACCCCTCTCAGGTGCGTGTTTCCTGATATGCTCTAATAATGCTCTCATAAGCTGGAGGTGGGGTCTGTGTAGCATGGGAACCCCTCGGGCCATTGTTCCCCCAAAGTGACTCAGGTCTGGGTGGGGTGGCAGCTGGCCGGGCTGCCGTTTGAGCCGATCCCGTTGACGTGGTCAGAGTCGGTGTACGAGGCAGCGTGGTTTGGCTCCCCTCCTCTGCCTCTCTGGCGATTTGGCTGCACTGGAGCAGAGGGTGGAAGGTGGAGGCCCTGAAGCTGGATTTGTGCCCCAGAGGATCAAGGGGATCTGGGGAGGAAGTCTGCCGGTGGAAGCTGAAAGCAGCACTGACCAAACTGTTGTTGCTGCGCCGGTCGTAGCTGCTGTTGCGGTTAAAGCCTGGGCGGTTGCGGGAAGACGTGCGCGATTGGTGGGGAGGGCGGCGGGTGATGCTGGCAGAGCCTGCCTTGCGTCGGGACATCCAGGTCAAGATCACGTAAACCAGGGCCCCCAAGACCAGGCCCACCGCGATGGACACACAGAAAGCTATGATCAGAGGGACTGGGAAGAGAGAAACATATCAAAAAGGATATTTTATGAACTGTGCTTCAATATGTATTTTTGATGGATCCTTAACAAACGCACTCCATATTTTTGTTTGCCTGCAGAATTATCTTGTTTACTCTTCATGTTCACTGTAAGGAACAAGAGTTTAATAATATTTATGCACATGCAATACAATCTACTTCATCCTTAATGATAGCCTTTTTTATTATCCCTTGGGAATGGAAGGAATTTTAGCCAACATTACAACAAACATCTCTTTGTAACAAACAACAACTTCTTGACAAAATGATAATAGTCTTTCCTCTTTCATGTTTACCAGAGCAAGTTTTTTGGAGACAATGAACTGATTGCATTTCATTTCCACAAAAAAAGCACTGACTTTTGCTCTTTGCTTCTCTGCCTTGGAAGCAGTAGTGCCCACATAAGCGTGCTTGAGAGAAGAGAGAGAATGCAGCGGCTAAAACAAATCCTGTGGACAGCTGCCAGCGAAAACAAATCAATTTCCTCTCAATACAGTTGAGCGTTAAAAGACTGAACCCACTTTTTCTACCAGCCCATATTTCCACAGCGGTTTCTATTTTTGCTCTAACTTAAGGAAAAGGGAAAGGAGACACTGGTCAAAAGTCATCTGGAAATGACATTTAGGAAAACGGAGGAAAAAATAACTAAGAAAACACGTCTGGACCTTATAGATTTGGAGTGAGTTGCAAAAGTCTATATGAAGTAATCTTCAAAAAGAATCATGTATTTCCGTTTCAGAGGTGATTAAAGCTTAGATTCCTGAGAGAACGACAGCGCCAATCAGAGAGACCACATGAAAAAAGACCTGCTAAAAGAGAAGGGAAGTCAGAAAAAACTCACCAGCGTCATAAGACTGAAGTATTTCCAGAAAGAGATTTGTGTTGTTCCCGGCCATGACTTCAAGGAGAAGAAGGGAGACTGATACTCAGTTCAGTGTGTCTTTAACTCTCTCTCTTCTTCTTCTTCTGTCAGTTCTTGCCTGTCTCTCTCTTTACTTCTGATGGGTTTTCCTGTCTTTCTGGCTCCCCTCTTTCCTGTTCTCTCACTTTTCCCCTCTCTTGTCCCTTGCTCACTTTCTCTGTCAGTATGTCTGAGCCCAGAGGCACACAGGACTGGCGGCTAACTCTGGCGGCCGTCTTGTTTATGGAAGCGGAAAACTACACTGTCACATTTCCTGCTTTCCTGCTTGAAATTAGCAACAGGAGTGGCTTATCTATCCAGGACAGAGATCCTGGAGGTGGGGAGACGGGGTGTTGCTGTAATCACTTCCTCCCCCATCATTTCCTTCGGGTTGATTAATGTGAAATGGTATCACCCAAGTACTGCAAGACTCATTACTTCAGCTTTCACCATAGGAAAGTCCACCACACTCACCAATATTTGGTTCCTTTCAGAAATGACAAATATTTCAATCTCTCACATATTTTTCCCTGCCCACCACAGAGACCACATGAAACAGTTAACCATAAAATGCACAGGCCTGCAATGGGTGCTGAACACAATACCACAGCTGGAATTGATGGTGACGATACTGTAAGTGCTTTTAATACTCGGGTAATGATGCTCTGGTGTATTTTTATTTTGAACGGACTGTGTGGATATCTGCCTGTTCTGATCTCCAGCGTCTTTGTTACGCTCAGTCTTTCCACTGTGTCTGCCAGGTCAGCGGTGCCTGCTTTGGATGTCTGGTCCTTTCCTCAGTTGGAGAGATCCAGTAAAAACATTGTAGTTTGATAAGACAGAAAAGCAGCTCAGTTACTTCAGTCAGTCAGCATTGTATTAATCCCCTCCAAGTCAAATCTGCATGGTCGTCAGTATAGTCAGAGGGAAGGATGCGAGCTGTCATGTTGGTATGCGTCTAATGTAGACCAGCCCCATTTGCCCCCATCAGCTTTTGGATGGTAAACCTTCCTTCACCTTAACTTCAACCTCAACATTAATCAAGTCTCCCTGTTAATCCTGTCCAGTAAAAGGAAAAGTTCTTAGGCTGTCAGACAAAATCTTTGTGAGTACACTAAGAATTTGACAACCTTCTCACTGTAAAGTAGAGAGAGAAAATAGCCGGACCAAAGCCTGAACTTCCTTTAATTGTTGGCTCTGCTGTAAAACCTGTCCTAAAAACCAGCAAACACCCATAACACACTAGTATGTGTGGCCACTGGCCATTGTGTTCTGTTATAGAGTAATTAAAGTGTAATGGGCTCATAGGTGGAGGACAACATTCTTTGAAATTTTTGGCTTAATTTCATAACCTTATCAAAATGTCATTGGGCAGAGTGGTGGGAAGTTACAGTGTGCAAACCTTCATATGTAAACAGGGACACTAGATTTGTGTAAGGACTTCAAGAATGTAGCCGGCAACGAAGGATATATTTATGCTGTGGTTGAGAAATAATACAGAACCGTGAGGAGTTTCTATTTGTAGATTAGATCAAACAATATCTCATCAATCTCCTAAACATGAGCGTTTATCAATGTGCCATTCTGGGACAGCACTTATGCATAAACTATTATTACAGGGAACATGGATAAGTGAAATGGAATGTTTTTTTTATTCCTATAATAAATGAATACCACTGTGGTCGGTAATATTTCGATGTAGAGAGGCCGAGTCAGCCGCTAGGGAGGGACGGTCTCTACTATGTGGTCTTTCTGTTCCCTCTTTGAACAGTAGATGGAGTAATACTCCACGATAACTTCACAGCACATTTCAAATGCATATCATGCAATTTGCTCAGCGTGTTGTTCAGTGTGCGTGGTGGGCTGTGTGTACTGATTATTGCATTGTACACACACAGCATCATCCTCCACATGTTTTTAGCAGTTTAGATATCACACATGTGCAGCTCAGTGAGGATTGGTCTGCTATGACGTATGAATTCGAAGTAAAGTTTTTGCAGGATTTGCAATAGCATGTGTGTTTTTTCCCCCATAGAAAACAATGGAAATGGGTTGCGAGTTATATCCACATCTGTTTAATGTCTTATAACATTGGAATACTTGGCCTACAAACATCAGTATAACTTATTTAACATCACTTGTAATAAGGAGATTTGTCCCCTTTGTTTAAGGAAACATCTGAGTTGATACCAGATAAAACGGCTTCTTGGATGAGTTTTGCACGACATAAATAGTTACAGAACAGAATTTCTCCCGGGCATTGTGTTGATTTTGACATGCAGGTCGGCAACAAACTTTATAATGAGATTTCAGAAAACTGCTGACATTGCATGGAAGAGATTACCACACTGGCGGTCTTGGTCCCAGCTCTCCGCCTGTGCATTGATTAGATAAGGAAACGTATCTTAATGGGAATGGCTCTGGCTACTATAGGAAGAGTTCCTATTGACCCACGTGCTTTGTCTCCGCTCTCTGCTCCCCTCTGCAGTGTCTGCTCTCCGATTTTGCTGAATCCGTTTGGTCCTGTGGGTCTCTGGACGGTGGAGGTCACCCCCAGCAGAGCTGCGTGGAAATGTAGGAATCAGCAGTCCGTCTCTGCTGCAGAGGAGCCAGCCGATCCAACTGAATCCCACAATTTATCACACTGGCCAGTCCAACAGCTGACTCTGACACAAAATGGTTAGATTTGTATTTATTTATTTATATGGACGCATCGCTGATTTAGTTGTTACTGTGTGGGTTGAGTTGTGATTGGGTAGGCATATCATTTTAATTAATTCTTATTTTTTTGTCCTCTATATGGCATATTCATTTTTATTGAGAAACTTGCGTATATAATTTATTTGGCGGTAAGCTATGCTAATAATACCCTATACACATAGTTGCCTGCTTTTGGGAATGATTCCCATACAATACAATTCTTCAGTCTAAATAATAACCTCTTATCCCACATCATTTTGGCTAAGAGTGTTTTTTCCCGGTAAACATCATATTTCCTCAGTCACTGTCGGTAAACGGTAAACAGCGCAGCTTTCAAAGAGAGCCTAGACAATGCAGAGATCAAGAAATCTGGACTCACAAATAGATGGCGGAGAGCCGTTCTGCTGTCCATGAAATCACCCTCATGCTGCTCTAATGCCTCCACCTCATTAACGTAAAGCCACTCCATAAATGAATCCTCAAAGCAGATTGCACTACATCTGTGCAGTGTTTTCAGTGTCATTCATTGAGCAGAGGATCTGCAATCAATAATAATTTATCAGCTTTTATATTTCCCATGCCCACTCCTCTGTCTCTCACTTTGTTGGATGAGGCTGTGGCCAGAGCAGCTTCTCTAAGAGCTCTCCTGAGATGATGATGAAAGGACTCGTCGAATGGGATTACACACTGTGATAAGTGCTCAGAGCCCAGTGGTTCGTCACACCTCCCTCATGCATTTCAAAGAGTGGCATTGATCGGCTGGGGAGCAGCAAATATCGGATATGGAGTTTTTTGGGAGAGATGTTTTATTGGCAGGGTTGTGTTTTCATCGATTGTTTACTCGTATCGGTGATTTTTTTTTTTTTCTACCTGCACGTGTCACATTTCATTTAAAAAGGAAAGTCCACTGTTGCATGAGACTCAATAAGCAGTGAATGATGGAGCAATGCATAGTAAGCTAAACGAGCACGCATGGCGACTTCTTTAAAATACAAGGACATTTTCTGAGTTCGAGCTGGAAGCCCTTCATCCAAAATCAAACTATTTTTTACTAAATACTTTATCGTTATTAGTTAAGTACATTGATTATGTCATGATTCAGAGTATGACCCCAGACTCCTCATCAATTTACAGTTTTAGTCATTCAAATAATAAAATAGAAAAGTGTAAGAAAGGAAAGTGCATCTCGGAGAAGCCCAGTAAGCATTTACTTTAATACATAAAGATAAAATTAGTCACTTATTTATTTCAGCAACCCCTGAAAGTGTCTCCTGAAATCATCAATTCAAGTCCCGAAGCTCTGATTTAGAAAATTACAATGTCAATTCTGTTTGTGGATGGATTTTACCTTTAACATATGTGGTATAACTGCTTTATCTAAGTTCACATCCAGTAAGAAATGTGTTGTTGCCATCAGAGGCGAGGTCCGATGCAGCAGATTCTCTCCTCTGTTCGTCCATTGCGTCTCTCACTTGCTGACAAACACTTTCTCTCCCACACTCACAGACATGGCACACATCTTACAGTGGCACCAGTTGGCACGGGACGATACCCGGCATGCTATTGGTCCTGAAGTGAGGAAGGAAGAGCCATCCCTTTTGATTGGACAGGAGGTGGCAGTGCAGGCAGACCAGGAAGCTGTCTTGTCTGCAGAAGTGAAAGGCTCAGGCATACTGTATGTGATTGCTCGCATACACATACAGTATGAACTTACGTCATCGTCGGGGGAGGAGCTTCTCCGAGTGAGAGGATTGCAGACTGCTACTGCAACAGGGATGACTTGAAAAGAGAAAACATACAGCATGGACACGATTCAGCCTTGATAGCCCTGCGGTCAGTGGGAGACGCACGACTGCTGCGGCTCGATCTGAGTCCTGATCACAGCATCGGAGCCTCGCGGGTGGTGACGCACGGGAGTTTGAGACGTGACTTTGATGACCTCAGGACAGCAGCATGGCATCACCCAGGCACTATGGACACTCTACTCGGGATATTGCCAACGTGATGCAGATGCTGCAAGGTAGGTGTAAAATGCGTACTCACTCAAAACCCCTCCACCTGGGTTCTGCAGCGTTTTTAGGGGTGACCTAGTGCTTGGCATGACACAGCAAAACAGTATGAGCTAGAGACATTTACTGTTACTGTAAAACTGCTCTACATGGATTTGATCTTTTCTGCTCATGTCTTATCTGTGGAGTGCTGTTCAAGTTCAAATGTCTTATAAACGTGTGGTATGGGAAGGACATGACAGAAAGGGATACGCAATATCACAGCATGCAGTAGTCAAGCACATTGGACATGTTTAGGTCATAATCAGTTGTGTTTTGTCCAACATGTAGTTGCTCACAGTGCTTTAGTTGGCTTTAAATAGAAAATAGAGATGCATGCAACTGTTGTATGTATTCACTGTTTGTGTCTATGTGTGCACATGCTTGCATACATGCACAGTATGTGCTTGTGTCTGTGGATGACTGGGAAGCAGACAATAGATAAAGCTAATCCCCAGAGAAGCTGCCAGGATGAAG